TCACCCCTGATTGCTGAGAGAGGGCTCCGGTCTCCTCTGCCCTCGCTATCTTTTGCACAAGAGTGGCCCTCTAGCTCGCCAGCGTGCAAAAGGTAAAGAAACCGAGACCTTTCTTTGAGAAATCGTCTCTCGACGAAGACTTAGTCTGATACTGAGACGAAATAGGATATCTGATTAATAATATGGAGAAGAACTGATCGATAAACGTTTTTCTAATGTTCGGATGTCATTTAGAGAAGGTTCGTATTGACGATCGTCAAGAAATGTTCCAAATATTCTCACTAAAGTGATAAAGTAGGCATCCACTGTAGTGACCGAATGCATTTAACAGGTTAATTTGTTTTTGCGTAGTGTAGAAGAAAGAAAAGAAAGCAAAAACATCTCAATCGATCCGAAATCTCGTCTCCATTCGAAGTAAATTCCCTGATCCCAACCATGGAACCGCGTTACGCGCCCAAAAATCGCGTTCTGATACATCGAGCGTTATTACACACGTTCGTGGGCCGGGTAACGAAGCGCGCGGGGCCCTACTCGCGCGTTGCATTACGGAAGATAGATGGAGTTCCGTTGAACGGGCACACACCGAGGGAGGATAAAATGTGGCTTCCACTAGAGCCTGGGCATCACACACAGAGCCACAAGGGGCACGGATGTTGTACCAAGCGCAACGCCACCATCAAGGCCCTCCCTCCCCCTCTTTCTTTCTCCTCCACCGGAGGCCACTATCTGGAGCTCATCGCATATTTCATCCCGATCAAATTATTCCGAGGAACAAAACACGCCGGGTACATCGAAGTGAGAACGTTGCCAGGGCCCCCTTTCCCCCTCCCTTTACACAAACGGGGGTAGAGTGAGGGGGGGGGCGCGAGCCAGAGTCGATTGCCCCGATGGCTAACGGGACGGGGAAAACAGAGCGTAGTTCAGTCGATGAGGAGAGAAAAGAAAGTTGGGTAGAGGGTGGGGGGCATAGAGAGTAAAAGGGCGGGAAAACGGTACTATACGGCGAGGGGTACCAACAGGCCCGCTAATTGAAGATAGAAGGAAAAGGAGCGGCCGAGAAGGGACTGGCTAATATATATCGAGACGCGAATACAGAGACAGCCTCTGCCCAACATTCCTTCCTGGATGCGCGTTCCCTTCTTCCATCCGTCCCCTTCTTCCATGGTCCCACCCCTCCCTACCTCACTCCTTTCCTTCCCCCTTGCTCCCCCGTTCTTCGCCGTTCGCCGGCTGGACATGGACAGGGCTTCATTAGCGTTCGCGTAATATAAATCAAACGACGATGCGTTTTAATTTATAAAACGCCATTACACCTTATGAATGACCCATTCATGTGAGAGGGCCTTGCTTCGTGGACACGTGTCCCCGTTGTTACGACCACGAGTATCCGACAGGGACAGAGGCGAGGAGAGATAGAGACAGTAGGGTAGGAGGGAGTTCACGAATAAGAGAGAGGATCGACGAAGACGGAAGGATGTCGAAGGAGAAGGCCGAGGAGAAGGACGACAAAAGGAATACAAACTACCATGGGGGGGGGGGAGGCTTCCACGAAGGAATTTTCTCTCATGAATCGATCGAACGCCGATTTCGATCGTTCAGATTCCGGGGATCCATGCAGACCAGATCAAGAAAATCGATTGGTCCCGAAACGGAAGAAGCACGAGGTCATGGCGTGCGAATTAAAAAAAAAAAGAATCCCTTGAGGCCGCGATTGACGTTCGGCGACCAGTACAGGGGGTGCTTGGTTACGAGGAGAGACCGGAGGAGCCGAAGGAGAGAAAGATCGGCATGTGTAATGGAGGGGAAGGAAGGACGTTGAAGCCCTGTTGTGACGCAGCCTTAGCTTCATCGAGGTATATATCCACTGGACCTGCGCTAAGGCCCACTCTGCTCGCTCCCTGGGCCCCTGCCCCACCCCTCCCCCGGCCCTTCCGCCTCTGAATCCCTCCGTGGCTGGGCCTTTGCCCCTCCACAACGGCGGCCGCTTCCACTCGCTGCCTCCGCGCGCGCGTCGACGATTCCTGTCCTCAAAGTCCTCCTTCCACATTCCTGGGTCCCGAGTCGCCGTGCCGTGCGGCGCGGAGACGCTTGGGCGGGAGGTGGAATACGAGAGGCCCTATACAAATCACCGAGCTACCGTCTTACCCGGGCTCATTCTTTCTCTTCCTTTCTCTCTCTTTTCCATTCCGGGCCTACCTTTGTCTCTCTCTTTCTCTCGCTCCCTTCTCGATTCGTCTTCTTCTTCTTCTTTTATCCATCCTTCCTTTTCTTTCTCTCTCTTTTTCCATCGATACATCCATCCCCGTCCCTCTCGATCCAGCCTATTATCTCTCTCATTTATCGCGTTCTCTCTTTCTCTCTCCCGTTTCCTCCTACTTCCTGCCTCGTCGTACCGTCTTCCTTGCACCCCTCAGCCCTCCGTCACTCCCTCACTCGTTCTTCTCTGTATAATGCACGTACGAGGGGTGTGCCGTCTCTCCTCGTTCCACCACCAGCGGCGTCCTCCGCCGGGCCCATTGCTGGGCCCGCTCGGCCCTTCTTCCTCGTGCATCTCACCCCTGAACCCCTCATCCTCCTCGTGCACTTTCATGTCCCTTTTCGTCGGTTCCTTTTTCTCCTGTTGCGAACAACACGCACCTCGACCCTCGGCCACGCACACGCGTTGACGCCCAAAAAATTTGACGTTTCGTATAAATTACCCGCGACGCAAGCCGGGGCTGCATACGCTTGGCCCGTTCGAATAATTTGCCGGAGGGGGGTTGGGGAGGGAAGATGGCGGGAGAAATCCAGGGGATCTGGAGGCACAGAAGAGCCACCGTGCTCGATGTAATTTTCATTAAATCGGTGTGATATCGCGGATTTTTAATGTACCGTCCACTTATTTTTTCTTGTTTGTTTTAAGATCCAGCCATGAACGTATAGGTCCGATCGATCAGGGGACAAACGAAGGTAGGCGAGACGCTCGAAAACGTCAGTCATCGTCACATGGTCCACGCTCAGACGACGTTAGAACGTCCCCGACGACGGTGGCTCCATGGCCGTAGGCGATCCTTCACGGTATCTATTTTTAGCGACAACCGTCCAAGACTTCTAGACGGTGGTGATTACAAAATTACAGCGGCGATTGGTCCGTGTCATTTCACCGCCGCCGGGCCCCAAGGGGGACGAGAGAAGAGACGGAGAGACCGTAAGAAGAAGAACAGTAGGACCGAGAGGACGACGCCGGGGAGCTGCAGGGGCAGAAGACGATGAAGGGGATTAAAAAAGAGAAAAAGAGCAGGCACGGCACGAGGAACGAAGAAGAAGCGAATACGGTAGCAACAATAACGTCGCCGGGTTGAAGAGGAACAAAAAAGAAACCAAAAAAAAAAAAATGAAAGGCAACAGGGTCTCCAAAGATGGATCCCTCCGTGGCCATGAAAAACTACGAGGAAGAAGAAACGAAGAATCCTAGATGGAACACAGGTGCGGATGGTGGGTTGCCGCAGGTAGAGAGCAAACGATGGAAACCAGCCAGAGTGCCAGATGCGGTCCTAGGTGCCCACAAGGCTGCAGTTTGCTGAACGGTGGGGCCAGGGGCGGAAGGGGAAGGGGGTGGGAGGGGAGGGGAACGCGGCCAGCGCGCGCACTGGCCCGACCAACCGACGCACGCATGCAGGGGTGTGAGCCACCTTTTTCTCCTTGTTTTGGCTTTTCAGATGCATTTTTTTTTCCTGTCGTGGCATGGCTCGCGCGCCTCAAAACCCGCCGGGGCTCGGGCTCGCCGTGATGGGGCCTCGATGGAATGTAGGAGGGAGGGGTCCCGCAGGGCTCAGCGAGGCCCAAGAAGGGTCCAGGAGGGGGTCCAGGTGGGGGTACCAGTCGGACCGGCTTGTCATGACTGGTGGGATGGTATAGAGAAAGAGAGAAAGAGAAAGAGAGAGAACGAGGGTAGCGTTGGCGAGGATTCGGTGAAGGGAAGGGGACGAACGGCTCGGAAGCAACGGGCCAGAGGGCCCAGCGAGAGAGGAAGAAGACCCTGCGCGCGGTATGCAGAAAGATCTCAAGATTAGTCACGAGCTCCAGACTACTACGGTTGGCGGGCCAATGTGTATTGCGAGCTTGATCTCCTTTCCAATTCGTCCGATCAGCGCAACGTCTAGGATACTTTCTCCTTTGGACACCATGGACCTCCGTACACACACGGGGCGCCGTGTGGTTCACCCGTGGATCGTGATATGGGGAACTGTGTGTGGACGAGGCAACGGTGAAAGCATCCTTATCGATCGGATGTGTCCTTTCGTTTTTCGAGATTCCAAGATCGCAGGCTTTCGGTGTACAGTAAATCCTCGAAAAAACTCATAAAAAAGTCAGCGTTATACCTGGGGACATTTCCTTCTCCATTTTCGCGGGACTTCGCGATTCGTCAATTAATCTGTTCGAATAATTGTAAATATAAAAATATTACTGTATTTTCTCTTTTCTCCAAGATCTTCAGACGCACTATAAATGCAGAAAAAATCCGCAGTGTAGTCCACGGTCGTTCCTATCCATAGAGGGAGATAGAAAGCAAAAAAACTTTGGATAGTTCAGTCCGAGTCGGGGCCACAGGTGGGGCCCCATCACCTGGTCGTGGCTAACGACGGTCCCGTCAAGAAATCGGGCAATTCGACGAGTCGCGATCGTGCCCCCCGGGGAACTCGCGAAACGCAACACCTAATAGACTCGCGTGAGCTTCGGTAATTCGATCTACTCTCTCTTTCTCTTTCTCCTTAGGAAGGTTAAAAAGCCGGCCTCTCGACGTAATTCGAGGCGGATATGCTACCCCGCAAGTCATTCACGATGCTCACCGGGCCCGTCCGACCGCATTTCGTCGTCCGTTAAACGGCGGATCGGACGGAAAACTGGGGGACAACAGATCGCTTGATAGGGCGAACTTTCAACCATATGTACTTATGGAAATGCATGGTTAATTTCGATATGATAATTATTAATTAAGAGAAAACGTGAAGAATACTCACCGGAAAGTATTGCCAGGCCGAACAGTTCGCAGTCCCGCATGCCCTGCTGGCCGAGAAGCATGCATGTCTGCGCGTACACTTCCTTTACTCTCGACTTCGCCTGAAAATACAGACACAGAAAAAGTTAGTAAAATCCGACAGACTTGATTGAACAAAATTATTGATGGAAACACGATATGTCTTATGAATTACTAATTTTACAACACTTATATGATTTCACATTAGTATTAAATATTAACTATTTAACCACTAATTGTATAATGATTTCTCAAGTCTGCTCTACAATTCAATAAGTGTCCCATTATTATGCGTATCGAAAAGTTTTGTCGCTTTTCTATTCGGTGCTTTAATAACAAACAAAAGGATTTCTATCCAGGAATATTGATGAATAGAATGCAATATTGTTACGTAAATTAATGAACATTACGTATAACATACGCAAACCGGTACCCAATACTTATGGACGGGACTGTATATAGCACGGAAAAGATTGAATTTATAAAATAACGTATAGTATTTAAGGCGAATATTTTATATGGCGGTTCTGGCCGAGTATTGTCCGTTCCTCTGTTGAACCGGCTCGTTCGTTAATAGCTGCGTTGAACATTTGTCAAAAAGGCCTCGTAAAAACGCGCGAACGCTAATGTCGTTTACGCAAGGGATTCCGGTTTCTTTAGAATGTCGGTTACCGCGAGTGTAAACCTGCCACCTCCCCACCGTAGAAAACTGTGCACGAATTTCCGTAACGTGTCGGATCAAAGCACGAATGACGTAACACTACGAGTAGGACACTCCGTTTATCCGAACTCCATTTACCGGAACAAACTGTCCAAGCGAATAAGCAGCATTCGTTTCAAATGGATCTACTGTAAAAATTAGAAACTTTGAATCACGAAATTTCTCAATCTCTGAATCCCTGAAACTCTGCAAATTTGAATGTTTGAATCTTTGAATCTTTAAATCTTTAAATCGTTGAATATTTTAATCTTCGAATCTCTGAATCTTTGAATCCTTGAACACTTGAATGTTTAACCATTGAACTCTAGTGCAAAGAAATGTCAAATTTTGTTCAACCTGGTTCGAAATGCTGGACGATGTATACATTTCAATTGAATCTTAATGAGGCTGAATGGTTTGTAGTGGACCCCATTTTGTAGACGACGGTACTAACGTTGTAAATTCGTAATTACATGAGGGGGATCCCGGGCGTTCGGGACAAGGGTTTCGAGAGCGATACAATCTTATTACGCGTGCTCTATTACCGGTCACGTGCGGTTCGGACGTTTCCTTAGGCGAAGGAATACTTCCATTTCTTGTACGACACGTGTTGATCGTTGTACGTACGGACATGGGTCCTGTCTTCTGATATAAACAGTTTGCTCCAAAAGCTTCTAGTTTGTTAGTTTAATTAAACAACTCTAACAAAAATTGCTCGGATCAATTTAATTTTTGTCAATATTGCAATGTTTATGCATAATAATAACATATACAGAAAGTAACAAATGAAATGTCTATGTCTATATATAATACTTTATACGATGGTTCTATGCAACAGAAGCGATTTCTAAGGGTGTGCTTGCGCGAAAATTTCAATACGGTTCGCTAATGATCCGACGTTAGACTGTTCGAGGGTAAACTGTGGACGAGTTTCATAAAAGCGATCGAGTCGAGGTTACGAGGCATTCCAGCGTAGTAACGCCGTCGTATTCTGCAACGTGCACGCGGGCAATAACAATGTGTGAATGAATGAATATTGCAAACGGTGAAAGCGTACCACATACCAGTCTCGTTACAACCGTGGGCTAGTCGCGGACGTATCGATACTCGTGCGACACGTCGACGAAGGAATCATTAAGAAGTTATACAGTACTGCCCAAAAGGATTTAGGATCGCCACCTTGCCCATAGTTCTACTGCAAACTGTGAATAGTGTCATTGAATCGAGGATTACTAAAGATACACCGTGGAATAAAGATAGCTTCCTCTTTTATCATTACGAAAACTGATCGGCGGGCACACCGTGTCGTAGTAAACCGAAGGCTCGCCGGGGGCACGGTAATTAGAGCTTAAGCACCGTATGATTATGGAAAAGTTCGCGTATGCCGTAGCCGCGACTGCCATTGTTCCCTGTGCGCTCAATGAATTACAGATTGGACAGTAAACAGCCGTGCGTGGCAACGGAAGAAAAAGGGAGCAAAGAATAAAAAAAAATTGTAGGAGGAACACAAGAACTCCGGCGAACACCCACGGATATATTCAAATCGCAATTCGCTTTGCCTCGCTTCCTACTGTAACCCCGAGTCTCTCCTTTTTCTTCTCCCTTCGCATCTCTTGCCAGACTGAATGGTCGCGCGCGAGCGCGAACTCGACCCTCGCTTTATTCGCGTAACAAAGCATCGACGGATTCGCCGTCAACCCTGATTTCCATACATTGAAACGGCGACATATCGCGCGCGTGTACCGAATCGGACACGCGATTTTTGAGCAACCGTCTCTCACGAGCTTTGTCAACGCGTTCTTCATTTCTGTCGTGTTTCGACGATGCAATACGGGCTGGAGTAGCTTGAAGAATTTACCACTTACTGTACATGAATTGTATTGGCTTACTAGGGGATGTTCAGTCTTCCTGTATGTTCACGGGGTGTCAAGAAACTGGGCAGGCTTTCGCGCGCAGTTATCGCGACTTTACTATTATGGAGCAGCTGACATGTGAGTGTGGAGTACGCTTATATATACGTATATAGGATGACGAACTGTGAACGTGTCGTGCCAAGAAAGGAAGATATGGGATATATAATGGTGTATCTGGGGTATCTACGTACGTACAGTTTTACGGAACTGTACAGGCATATTCAACCCTACTTACAATATACTCGAGCCTATCAATACTAGTCGTACAATTTTAGTACGTAGTGCTGAACTAAAAATGGAATCACTAGGGGTGCACACGGTAACCAAAGTGTTGACAGTCTCCGATCAGTCCAATAAACTCGAGTGCGAACTGGCAACATAAGAGATAAACAGTCTCCAACAATCCAGTAAACATGAACATGGAGCTTAATGAACTCCTCGCAGCTCCGCGCCAAGATAACACGCGGGTGAAATGCATAAAGTACTGCGGAATAATAGTCCATCGCTACGGTTCTTCGAAAGCTAAGTGCCTCTTATAAATAATACTGTTACGAAATGACCGAAGGAGAAAAAATCGTTTTACGACCGGCTCGGTAAGTTTATTCCACCTCGAATAGTGTGAAGAGTAGGGGATAGGATGTTGTAACACAGAGGCACTTCGCGATCGGTGATAAATGCGCGAATGTTCCCCGTATGCCTAGGGGAACCGTATCTGTGCATTCCTACCCCCGTTTGCTCGTAACAGTTTAAAGAATTCGACCGATAAAAATCATGTTATTATCCCCCGATTAGAAAGTTGCCCGGTGTAACGCGAGCCATCCTGGGTCCACGGGAACCGGTTGATGTTCCGCTACGATGCAGCATCGAGAACGTTCTCGCAGGTTCGTCGAGAAAAATCGGTGTGAAGTAAAAGCGTGTATCGGTGAGAGAGTGAGGATTCGTGAGTACTAGGACCGTAGGTCGATTTATGAGTCACGGACTTTTATGAACATTTTTTTACAGATCAGAATGTTATTTTTTTCTCGAAGTTTTCAAGATCATCGATGATTGATGCTTTTTTTCAAATAACTGAAGGTTATTTGAAGGTCATAGAGTACACATCTGGATCTATTTTTTCATGAGCTACGTGATGCAATAGGGAAAAAGTGTGTGGTTACTTGAAAAACAGCCTTCGATGACCTTGAAAATTTCGAGAAAAAAACATTTGCAAGAAACAACTTCTTTTTCACGTTGTCACAATTATTAAAAAATTCGGGGAGGTCACACTTAAATGACATGCCTTGTCGTCACGACGTTTCAAGCCAGGGCGAATCCATCCACGCCGCAGTTACGAAGATCCGTCGTTTGGACAGATATTTTTGTCAATCTCTGCGAATCTATCCCCCGTGGCTGTCCACGGTGGACGGAATCGTGAAATGTACGCCCCCCCCCCCGTTCCTCCTAGATAGGATCGGCCGTAAATCTGAACGGACAGGCCGTTCCAGCGGATATTTTATGGTGGCCCGTGGAGATTTGGTGCGGACAAGATCGGCGCCGGAATGCGTCGAGCGACTCGAAATATTCGATACGGGGCGATAAATTGTTCCGCTACCTTCGCCGACGCCGCAGCCGGAGCCAAGCATTCCACCGCGAGCATTTATGAGGGAGACCTTTTCCCTTCAGGGCAGCAGCAGCAGTCGCTTGAAAACCGGGCCGCGATTGCACACTTCCAAGCAAACTCGGCTTCCACTAGGGGAAAAAGTGATATAGTGAAAGGACCTTCTGCCATTTGGTTTCGGGAATTATTAAAATTTATGTCAAATTAACATTCAATTTAACATTTATTTCAGTACTTGGAATAAATTTATCAAGTTGTAGAAGGCCATTCCTCTATGTCACTGTTTCCCCTAGTGGAAGCCGAGTTTGCTCGTGAGGGTACGCAGGAATCGTTTCCATCTACGGATAGGTATATGTATTTATAAGGTAAAATGGTGTGAGAAGAAAAATACAGAAAAAAAATAAGTTTCAGGAACAAACAAACTGAATCTGATATTAGGACACATGTCGACAGAAATCGACCGTGATCGGCCAAAGACCGCGCCCCCCATAGAGAGTGGCAAGTGAGTTTCATGGGGAGGTGGGAATATGGCTCGAAGAATGCAACGTTATCATCGGGGCTGCATCTTTTGACGGCGTTTCACAACAATGAGATACCGCGTGGCGATCATCGTTCCTTTGTCTAGTCGGTGGAACCCGAGGGAAACTGCTGAGCCTCGTGAAATATTTGTACACGGTCTCCAATGCGAATTTCCATACAAATCTTAGTCGTGTACAGGACGAAAACAAATTTGATGAACTCAAATTGCACTTTCAATTATTCAACATAAATCTATAAATACCTGGTACACACCTTTAGCACAGTGATGGAGCTTAGAATTCTGAAGTCAATGATATATGTTTCAGCAGCATATGACCATTAGTTCATGAAATATTTAATTTTCAGTGCCGAGAAGCCTTCGAACACTCATCAAGGTTTGACTGTATATCCTCGATAACTGCGCACTCGTGTCTTTCTGTGCCAACCCAGTAATCACTGCCGACACCCTGTATATACGAGCGTACGCCGTTCAGGTGATCGGCGTAACAAGCTAGAATCCAGCTCGTGATTTCGTAGCCAGGGCCTGAAAACGCGTATACGCGGGGCCACGCAAGCAGAACGAGGAATTTCCTTGGCAACCGGGAATTCAGATTCGCGGTCTTACAAATGAGCCTGGCTATAATTAGGGAGATGGTATCGTGTGAGAAGGTGCGGTGTATACCGCTGCCCCGGCACGCCGTACCGCGTGTTTGCCCGCGTGCTCCGTAAAAGACGGGTTTGTCTAACGACGCGAGGAACCAACGCGCAGCCATCGAGAGTACAAGGCAAAAATCGGGCGTCGCATTTCTCAGTACTTCGGAAACATTCCCCACGTAACATCGTAGGAGGGAGATTCGTCATCCTACCCCTCCCTCTTTTTCTTCTCTTTTCAATTAACCATTCTAGTCCCCGGCGGTTCAACACACGCTTACAGGGTCGCGAATTGTAAATGACCGTTGCCGCGGACAAGGCAGGTGCATGTAACCTCGCGCGGCTTAATATATCGACTGCGGCGGTTGCACGGCGCTGAGAGTTTCTCCCCACATCGGTTATTCCGTTCTCGCAACGCCCACGCCGCGGATAGTAACTAATCGCATTCCACGATTAGAAAATCCGGGCGTGCCCCCTCGACGCACCGTTCGATCTACACTGTCCGATAAAGCACGGCAGTTTCTGTGGGCATGTACGCGCCACCCCCCTCTCTGGAGGAGGGTGGGGATGTGCAACAGGTCGGATGATTTTTTTTTAACCTTTGCGTGGGCAACCAAAATGTTCACGGTTATTAAATGCACGGTAAGTCGTGACTTTGATGATCATAACTAGACTTGCGAATGTTTATGCATTTATAGGAAATTGTAAAATGCCAAAAGGCCATAAAATAAAGACTATAATCATATTTGATGATATTCATGTAGGTACTATTAAATGATATTCAGTACAGGAAATAATTTCTATTTAATTTTCACCTTTATAAAATCATATTTAGAATTGTGAATCTGTGTAAACATCCGCAGTAACTGATTGATCGGGGTTTTTCGTTAATATCTCGTTAACAAAGCCTGTGAGAATTTTTTCGCTAAGGAAAACGTTGTTTCAAAACATCCCAGGAATCACCCCTTTCAAGGAGTAAAATCTATTTTGGGACACGCTGTATAAATAAATATACGTATACATATATCCTGAATATGCATTTGTCGTCATGAATTATGCACCGGCCATTTAAAGTTAATAACACAGTCCGTGCGGTATACTCACCTCAACGACGAAGTAAAGAGGATCACCGGGAAGGGCTTGAACAGCGAGGTAGCGGCTGGCGGACACCAGGGGTTGAAGGCAGGACCGCGCAGCCGTGACACCGCTACCACGCATGCTGCATGCTTCATTTCGTCGCCGCTACGCCCAGCGTCCTCACTGTAATCCGACGGAAAAACACAACAACACGATTAGAAACATGTTTTTATTCGGGTAATGGAGATTTTAATAAGAGATCCCTATTTCACGTACACGTACGCCAGAGCATTTATTCATTTTAACCCTTGCGTGGGCAACTAAAGTATTTACCCTTATTCAGCAATTGGAATACCTATAATTTACTTTCATACTTTTCCGAAACTCTTCCCGTCCTATAATATAATAAGTACTATTTTTGACAAGACCATAAAAAATTGTGAGAGAAAATTTAGAAATGCCTACACAAACTGAATTCGTTCCTGGAATGACCTGTTGTTTAGTAGTGAAGGCGGTTAGGCTAAGGAAGGGGCGCAACCTCCGACCAAGTGTATTCCAAATACCAAAAAAAAGTAAAAAAAAGGCGACACAGCTCTCGAACAGGCCACAAGGTGAATGAACAATTAATTTGGTAGAAGTGGTCCGATTAAATCGACCGTCATCGATGATGGAATCCTCCCGTAATCCAACGGCGAACTACCAGATTAGGTGGTGAAGGAGGAAAAAATTATTTTTAAGGGAGAAACGACAAAGATAACAATATACACGGTAAGAGCCCCAGATAGGTGTAGGTATGCTAATGGAGGGAAACGGTAACCGGTCGCACAAATCACCGTTGGCATTTCCAGGGAATCCAGCCGCGAGGAATGGCCCTCCGGCTGGCGCGCGATGCCTACGTGTTGCTGAATCACAGTAAATCACGGAAGATCGCTCCCGGCGTTACTCCATTTTCATCTCGATTTTCGAACAAGAGGCGAAGGTGGTCGCGTGGATCGGAGAAAACGGACGATGGTCTCTCGACATCGTGTGGCAGCTCGTAAATCCAACACGAGGCCAATAAATCCACGAAAAACGCAACCACGAGGACGCATCGAGCTTCGAACATGGAATCTCGAAGAACCCTCATATTCTGATCGATCGCTTGAAGGTACCATTTATACCAGGGATCGAAATACACAGTGATCTTTCGTTTTTAAAAAAATTTTGTTCAAACTTATACGTTTCGTTTAAGAAAATATTGCTCTAGAAGTCCCAAACGAAATTTCGTCATTCTTAATTTTCATCTTACAAATTCGACAGTGTGGAATCTACCCCGAAAAAGCGTTTTTATTAACACCCTGTATAAAAATACGATAAGCAATTCAGGCCCGGGGCACAGTCGGGACACGAAACGGTTGTGTATAAATGGACCTTAAATCAACCCTTCGACAGTCGAATAAAAGTACGAACGAGGGGCCCGAGGAACGTGTATACACTCTTTTTTCGGTTCGAAATTGCTTCTGTCTCTGTGATAGGAAATTAAAGAAACTCGATTCAGACAGAAGAATAAGCAACGGTAAAAATAAAGCTATTTAGTTTAGTCGAAAAAATAATTATTTTTTATGTCAAAAAAATCTTCGAATCATCGTAACGCCTCGACGCGACCGCTTGCAAACTAACATTTGTAGGCCCTCTCCCAGATTATGTAAAAAAAATTCACGAACATTTAAAATTGCACAACAGGTACGCCTATCGATATTAGAATATTTTATTTCTGTGGCTCTTGAATATTAAAAAATATACGAATTTTTACAATAAAAAATATATTGTATCATATGCGACTCTTACTATCGAAATACTTGCCCACCCCTATAGTCACCAGACAACCGAAACAGCCCGTTTTCAGCGGTTCTACCACCTCGTGCCGCGGTTATTTTGGGGTCGTCCGGCGATTCGACGAAGTCGCCATCGGTTAATCGACGAAATTGACTAATGGACGATCCACGCGGGAGAAAGCAGAAAGGAGGAGAGAGGGAGAGACCGTCTACCCGCACGGAGGGATGATCGATGGGATCCATTACCGAGAGACGCGCGTGCAATCCGCCCACACCCCGAGGATCCTTTGGCTCTCTGTCCCCTTTTCCCCTCGATTCTTCCCCTGCCCCACCATAACCCCCCACCCCCTCTAAGTCCGTTCTTTTCCACTGTGCATTACACACACGTGAGCCAGAGTTGTCTATTTCTCTTTCTCGGTCAGGCCTCTCGACTCGGCCAGCAGCTCGCGTTGATGTATTTACTCGCTTGCCGGTATAACTGCCGCGCCATTATAAAAACCAATCTTTCTTTCTCTTCTCCTCCTTGCGCACACCGCCACTCTCCCCTTACTTTGGTTTTCAGTGCTCTCTTGATCATGTTATTTTATTACATAACTGTTTCCATGCCTGTGATCACGTCTAAAAAAACATTATTTCAAGCACTAATTCAAATAACATATGGTATTTTATTTCCCAAATCAAACGTATAACACCCCTCGTTTTTGCGTCGGGGGTTAAAAATACAGTTCCAATATAAGTGATTCTAAATAATTATTTCCTATTTCCATTCCAAATAAAATCTGCCCAGGTCTGGACGGGGTAAGGTAAGAGAGAGGCCTTTAGTTCGTCGTCTTACCCAGCATGCTGTACTGCCTTCTCCTCCCCACCCCCTTTTTACGAGTAGATAGGTTGCTGGGTAATTAGATTTGTACACGCGGGCTCAGGATCGCCGGGAAAAGGACGCGTCCAGCAGCGCGCGGCGAGAGTGCGCAAGACCACGGTGGTGTTACTCATGCAGTTGGAATGTAGTTCACATTGTTTATATACCGTCCGCCTACGTGCGTGCACGTCGCACTTCGTCGAACGATAAAACCAGTCGCTGCGCCGGCGCTCCCGTCGCGTCGATCGGCACCTCTTTCATCCCTGTGGATTATACACACGTTCACGGATTCGACGACTCGTATTCCAAATGGCGCCGCCACAAACGAACACATCCCCCTTATATCACGATGAACACTTTTTAGCACAGTTGTATCACTGACGAGGTATAAGAATAAACATTTCATCTTATGGGAGTTGGTGGCCCACCTAAAGTGTAGTACCGACACCTTAAAAAGCCTACGATTTTAGCGACCTCTACGTTTTTATTTATACATTTTATAAGTTCTATTCAAATTAAAACTTTTATTTATCTGTTCTTATAGAAACTTATGAGAACGGTTTTTTAACACTAAACCTACCACGACCGGTAAAAATGACCGGTTTTAGCGTACTAATTCCTACCTCTCTGAAGGGTTCGGTCTGTTCAGTGTTAAAAAAAATTCCACGATCAAATTTTACAATAGAACGTATCGAAAAGTTCCATAACCTTTTCGATCTCTGTTTAGAATCGCTTACGATCGTTTTTCCCCTAGACTCTACACTTATGTAGTAGGCCTAACATCTCTCAACGGGGTTCCCCGGTCACTTTCCCTCGGCGTGTCACCGTGGGCAAGCTATCCAACACGCCCGGCAACCCGGTCTAACTGTATGCAAATGAAAACGTAACGCGGCGTACCGTCTCCCGACTACGATTGCTCGTTATCTCTCCTCTTCGGGGTGAAAACAAACTCTCGATATCGCGGTTAGTGTCCCGGCAACGAGAACCAGCGTCCGTCTCTCACTCTCCCTCCCCGTGTGTGTTAGTCCGCGAACCGCAGAGGCCGAGTAATTAGAGCTGCGCGAGGAATGCGGTTTTCCCGCCTCGGCCTCTTCCTGTCCATCTTCCGGCGGTCGTGCACGGCAGAGAAATTGAAAGAGATTGCAGACGCAAGAACGGAGAAAGCCTCCGATTGGACCGAAATCGGGAATAATCGCCGAAATTCACAATATAGTAAATCCTGAATGAGTGTTCGAAGGCACCTTGGCATTGACAAACAAAGATCCCCAGATGTAACGCTGACTTTTTGGTGAGGTTTAGTGGTAAATTTCGAAATTCTGAAGCCAATGATATTTTTTTCAGCTGCATATGACCATTAGTTTATGAAATATTTAATGTTTAGTGCCGAGGAGCCTTCGAATACTCATCGAGAATTTGTTGTGGTTCTCGGTTTTATGAACTTAGGAGACAAGTCAAGGTGGAGGATGTACAGTAGGTCAGGATGATATTATTAGACATTAAATGAGACGATAGAAAATGGCCAATGTTAGAACTTATTGAAAATCAAAAGTATATCTGTGTAATATATGTATGCTACCAGTTCTGAAGACATAAATGTTCTATTGTTCCTGAATGTTACTCGACAATAACCTACAATGCGTTCATCCACTGATATCCCCAATGATTTATATCCATAGTTACGACGCACTTCATAATTCCGACCTTGCAGACATCCAGGGCACGCATAGACGAATACAACGATACGCTATTGTGTAACCTTCGAACGAGCATCCACAGACTTCACAAACAGACTGATAATAAAGAAGATACGAAGAAGATGTTTCGTAAAGTTTCACAGAAATAATAACATCTATATGTGATATGTTTCAAACTTCTCGCCTCAAATTTACCGTCATTTTGTATTGTATTAATATACCACCAAAATGAAGGTATTGAAACGCATTGAAACTTCCGTGTGCATACTTTGATCTTAATTTTTAGTTTTATGTGATCGTTAACATATCTTTTTCCCATCCCATAATAATCTCCGTAAAAAAAATCCATTACCACCTAATTTTTTATAAAAATGTTATTTTTTGTAACTACATAACAAGTGATTCACTTCTTAGTATTAACTACAGTTTTTTGCAACTAAATTAAGAATTATTAAAAATTTGCGTGAGCCACCTTAAGGGATTTTAAATAATGGTGCGCACCGTGTCGAACCCACGCGACTTCTCCACCTACCCGTGGACTCGACTCGACGAATACATCACGGGTGTGTACACGCGGCGGCGCATTCCAGTAAAATCCCTGATCTCCTGCCCTTGCGGTTTAGCATTCTCGTTAAAGCCACGCTGGAATGTCTTACGTTCTGCGCCACGTACATATATGTATGTATACACGTATATACATGTATGTACATACGATGGCCACGAATAAATCGACGGATTTATGAATAATTCCGCCGGCAAATTACAGGAGCAGGATGATTAGATCGTAATCGATTCGATCCACGGAACAACCTGTTCTTAATTGCAGAATGATTTCCAACTTAACGACCCCTCCGATACGGAAAATTTATTGTTGTCGTCCGTGGAACGCGGTGCGCTGCTGGGAAATGCCAAATTTTTTTTTCTCCTCGATAATAGGTCATTCACCCGCTAGGTTGTGCTTTCGAACAGATTCTCTGGGATTGGTGTGATTTTTAGAGAAAAAATACAGATTTCATCAGTGAATGAACATTTCTAAACAGTGGCGAGAAAATTGTTTGAATAGATAGTTGAATAAAAGATGCAATACAAAAAAGTCGATATTCAAAAATTTATTTGCTTAATTAATAACTTAATTTACTAGTTTCTATATATAATGTTCATTCACTGGTACGTGTTCATTTACTGGTGCATCGATCCAATCCACTCGAAGTATGATCGTACCTTTTTCCTCGATTCAGACACCCCCTCCACCCCCCAAAACCCTTTCCCACATTCGGTAGCGCGTTCCGTTCCGACTAAAGACGAGGGGACAAGGGAAGGTCAGCAGAAGAAAAGATTCATAGGTCTCCGTGGAATTTCAGTCGACGATAACCGCAAGAAAAGACACCCGCGCTGCACACGCACACACGGTCGAGGATACGGGAACGCGGAAGTGCGTGCACGCACGCAGAAACGCGTAGGTTTGTACAGCCGCGGCGCGGTGTCGGACGCGCATAAGCTACGGGCGGCCCCGCAAGAAACTGTTGTGCCGTGCAAACAACGCATTATGTGATAGCGCGTTGAATGGTTGTCGCTCGATAACCGTGAATACCTATACGCGTGTATCCAATATCTCTGAAGATGTAAAGAAAAACACCTGATGGAACAATTTTAAAAAATTTCCGTTTATGCATTGATCGACCTGTGGAATATAAGATATTTATGTCTCTAGCAGAAAAAAATGCATGAGAACAAACATTATGTGTTAAAAAAGAAATAATTTAACCGAAGACCACTGTTCAATTCATACACATTAGGCAAAGGTACGCCGGCATTTAATCTTTTTCAGGCTCCCCTCGTTGAGCTCGTGAATGGGAAGGCGTAATAAATGATATGCTTGACTGGTTTTCAGGGGGGATTCCCCCAATAGTGGGGGTTACGCATGGAAAGTTAACGGAGTGGCCTGTGTGCGCAGTTAACGCGACTTTTTACTAATTTTCCGATTTCAAGATTTTTCCACTCCTACAGCCCCAGGCCGTGGCAATATATCAAGAGTCTACTGTATCTTTGTATCGAATGCGCCTCTGGTAGGCGGTATTGAGGGCCCGCTGACCAGAGCACAGAAAAAAAACATGTTTCCGTTGACAAAAACTGTTGGAAACGATTCAATTGCCGAAACATGGCATTAATTACATATCTACTCCCAGTTAATATTCATGCATTCATAGAATGTTGAAAGTTGCCTTCTCCCAATTTGACGTGAAATTGTCACGGTTCGATAAATGTTTGCACACTATCAAGATTCACTTCAAATACTTACCATTCCTTCCTACGCATGCTTAGCCACTAGTTCAGAGTTCCAACTACTAGCAGATTTTAGCACTTTCTTCACGAGATATCACGAATAGTGATATTCAGTGGTAAGCCAGGCGATAGTAGATGCAGTTAGCCCACTTTATGACTGTGATCCTTGACTACTCGGGCTTCTTTTCACACGAAGCTGATAACAATACGCTCGGAGACAAAAATACCGACAATTGTAGACACTCGCGGCGTCATTGGATTACGCCGTGGCTTTCCGGGGACTAGTTTTATTGGTAGAATGAATTACGATTTTTTTTTCTTCTTCTTTTTAGTTCCGTCGATGTTCTATCTTTATGTCAGAGAATTTTTGAACGTTTTATATTTATCGACGCGGTAAGATACCTCTTTTATGAAGGGTATTTACGCTCGTCTGTAGTACTGGGATTGTTATACTATCTTGTACGGTGAAAATACATAATTTATCGACACACTTTTTTTGCCTTGAATATTATTGTTTCGAATTTGAGAAATTGTCTGGCTATAGTCGGTACTTCTATTGTAACGACATAATTTTCCGAATCTAAACTAATATTAAAAGAAAAATATGTCCAGAATCTATCCCAATTGATTTGTATCGAGTAACGCTAAAACAACTTCATTATTGGAAGACAAGTGGTGTTTCTTAAACGCTAAAGTGTACACTTCACTTCAACATATAAATAACGATCATTGGCAACAATTTTCATTCATGAAAAAACGGTATAAATATTCGAGTGACGTCCGCTGTTTCTAAAGAAACAGAGCCTAATAATAGAATTCAGATGAATTATCTTGTAGCGTTTCTCTTATCAGCATTCGTATCGAAGATTTTGAAGTATGCAGTTAAATTTCAAAAGAATCTCGACGTTCTACACAATATCCCGAAGGAATTTCGCTCTTGAGACAAGTGTCATGCAATTACTGTACGATAAAATTCGAATAATAATAATCATCGAAATCGAATTCCATTCGAATGATAAAAAAAACATGAACCTCGTTCCGTTGAGTTCGATTTTACCACTGATATCATCGTTATCTGCGAATCTCTCAGCTGCTGAAGACCGTTTCGAGACGTTCAAATCAGAATTCTCGTAGTTTCGAACGCGATCGCAACGATACAAGTCCATCGAATATCGACCAATTAACGTCGTTATCGAACGAACCCGCCCATTTGATCCAACAATTAGACCACGTCGAATGAACGAGCAAACACGATTCTACACAAGCAAACGCTAAATATGATTCTACCACAGATAACGAGACACTCTGGCCCGACTCGCCGTGACGAACCGTCAGTGACGCTGGGACCATCGTGACGATCGAATCGAATAATAGAAAACACGGAGGATGGGCAGATCCATTATCGAAAGGGTTTCAAGTAACGAATAAAAGATTCAAAGGAAAAAGTTGTCGCCTCGTCCCGTTCACTGTATCTTTTTAGTAGTTTGTACAAACATTCTTCTTTTCATAAAACCAAGAAAGTGATTTCAAGACGATTCGAAAGATGTTTTGAAATATTTTTTATATAAACAATGTGTTTTTATAAAAATAACGAATTAGTGGTCATAGTAACACCGTTTTTCTAATGTCTGGATGTCATTTGAAGAAGGTTCGTACAGCTGATCGTCAAGAAATGTTACAAATATTGTCACTAAAGTAGGCGTGGAAAAAATGCAGTTAGCGGGTTAAACTTGGAAATTCTAAGTTTTATAATGAAACGATACCTCGTCTTCAATGAACAGACACTCGTCCAACAACCATTTAATCTCGATTAACTGTTCAAAGTGTCAAGATCTAGATAGTGTTAACTTTCACTGTCTATCGTTCGAATAAAGTTCTATACAACTTCGACAGGCATGTGTTTGTGATCGAAGGGGAAACATCAGACCACAGCCACGTGATACAAAAATTGTTCTACGAATGGTTGTTCACGTGCTATCGGAAACACGTCCACTCGAAAAACCGAAAGGAAAACTCTGAACTGGAACGATAGAACGAGGCAATTCGGCGTTGGTGATCGTCGCGTGAATGAAGGAAACGTCGAACTGGCCCAGGTGAGGCTGATCGGGACGAAATACAGTAAATCCTCGATGAATGTACGAAGGAACGTCAAGTGTAATGCTGACCTTTTAACACTAGAACTACCAAGCGTTTATGCGTTTACCGTCGGTAGTTCTAGTGTTGATTAGGTTTAGCACAGTGATAGAGTTCAGAATTCTAAAGCCGGTGATATTTGTTTTAGTTGAATATGGCAAGTAGTTTATGAAATATTTAACGTTCACTGCCCAGGAGCCTTTGAACACTCATCGAGGATTTTTTGTACCATGTATTTTCATTGATCGATCGCGTGAATAAAGTGTCGACACTGTCCAGCAAGTTCATTTGAATTCGTTGTTGAATCGTAACGAAACGAAGAAATGGCGAGCCTGGTGGCGGCTGATTACGCTGTGATCGCGGTCACGTTGATCATCAGCTCTGGAATCGGTGTATATTACTGGCTGACCGGCGGAAAACAGAAATCGACCGAGGTGAGTACCGAAATCGACTAGAGTGTGTGATCAAATTATTATGAACACTTCGAAGTACCACTGATTTAAATTTTAATTGTTCATCTGTAATTACTTGAATTCTTCTTGACATACTTCCAATATTTTTTCGACGCAATAACAATGTGAGAATAAGTAATAATCAAGGAAAGCAACAATCAATAAAAGAAACACATAAATCGGCAGTAACAAGTTATACTAACGAATTATCATCGGTAGCACAATTTGGTAATTGGTTATAGTACAAATACTGTCCACTGATTATTGAACATACCAAAATATAATTAAATTGTGTATCTATATATTAAGAAACAAAAAGAAAAGGTATACTTCATTATTATTAAAAAGTCATAATAACACCGAAAACATAAAATATGTAATTTCTCCCTTTTTTCATAATAGTTTGATCACTTGCTGTAAATGTTGGTTTGTATACCTGTACCAAGGATATCCGATTCCGATTCGATTCTTCAGAAGATCGATTCCCTTGGGTAACACACATCACTGGTGATTTATATAAAAAAAATTGTGCCATTTAATTGTTTCTGTAAATGTTAATACCGTTCAGGAATACTATTTGGCGGACAGATCGATGAGAGTTGCGCCGGTCGCGATAGGGTTAACGGTCTCGTACCTGTCCGCGGTCAGCGTGCTGGGAGTGAGCTCGGAAAATTACGTTTATGGTACCCAGTACGCCGTGATCAATCTTGCGTACGGGTTAGCCACTCCGTTCGTCGCTTACTTCTACATACCAGTGTTCTTCAAGCTCGGAACGACCAGCACATTCGAGGTGAGTTGCCCATGATCTTAACCCTTGTCCCATTATTTATATATTATAACATTTTCGCTAAGGAAAAAGTGGTTTCAAATCATCCCAGGAACCCCTAATTTCCCGAAAGAGAGACATTTTTGAGACACCCTGTATACAGAGGTAATAAAAATATCCCTTTGTAAAAGGGATCTGCTACGCATCAAAATGGCTCTGTATTGTATTTTCTTAAAGTATAACACTTTGAAAATGTGTTCCCAAAGTGGACAAGATTTTAAGAGAACGATACACTTGTCTATATTCCACTACTGAGATTGTCTGTGTCCGGGACAGTGTTTACAAACATTGACGATTGTGTGGATGAAACAATACAATGTGTTTCTACTGATTATTCATTTTTTTATTCTTTTTCACTACTAATACACGACAAGCAAATTGTACTAAATCATTTACAAATTGAACAAATTTTAAAGTCAATTTTCTCGAAAACAGAACCCCGGATGAGAAAATGTTATACCAAAATATTTTCTTCTTTTTTATCGTAGAATCACCCGGTAATAATAATATTTTCAGTACATGCAGAAACGTTTCGGAACCGCAGCAAGACTAGCGGCGAGTTTCGCGTTTCTACTGCAGCTGCTTCTGTACAGCGGCGTGGTACTCTTTGCGCCGGCTCTAGCGCTCGAGGCGACCACTGGTATCTCGACGACCGCGAGCGTGATCGGTATCGGATTGGTCTGCACGTTTTATTCGACGATCGGCGGTATCAAGGCGGTCCTGATCACGGACGTGTTCCAGAGCCTGTTGATGCTGATCGCCATTATCATGGTGATCGTCACCGCGGCGGTGAACCACGGCGGCTTGGATCGGATCTGGGAGATCGCGCAAGAGGGATCACGGATAGAATTTGACAAGTGAATGACGTTCGGTCGAAAGATTCGAACGGAAATGGGCAACTAAAATTTTGAATTCGAACGATACACGGAGAACAGATCTAAGAGTCTCCGTGTGTGATTGTTTTTTTTTCTCTCTCGACTCGAACAGAATTTATTAATGCTAATTGGATTTTTGAAATTCGTCCCATACTACAGTGTTCTATATATAATTCCTCCAGTTGTGTTTCTTGTGGGATATGAGGGATAACGAGCAATGTAGCCTTCTATACAAGGGGATCTGACCCTCTATTTTTTTTTTAATGGAATAGTGCATAAATTCCGACATTTCTTTATAACTCGTTTAACAACAAATCACATTTATTTCGAACGGTTTTAGAAATAATAGAGGATACTAGAGAATATTAAGGAGCAAGTTTTCGCAGTTAAAGGATTAAACGATTAATTTTTTTAAACGTTTAGAATGTTACGCTATTTTTTTTTTGAAATCGTTATTTTCATATTCACTCAATGAAGCATGGACGCGTGACTTTTATCTTTGATCGATCACACGAATGAGATATGTTTGCCTGAATCACGTGTTTGCCCATCTCTGGTTCGAACAACTATCAAATTACCATTAAAAATCGTGTTTTAACACGATCGCTATTTACATATTTCTTTCATTAATTTTCATAAATTACGAGGCCTTTCGACGATCAATTGATTTAAAAATAACAATCTTTGTTACAGAATCATTTTTCGAATTTTCTCATTCTTTTCGCTATATTTCATCGGGTCTACGACGAAATGGTAATAAACTCAGGTTCATGTGATTACATGGGCGTAGCCAGGAGGGGGTCAAGACGAAAAAAATTGGATTAGCCCCCCCCCCCCCTTCCCTTCCCAGGGTTACAAAATTTTTGCGTAATACTTAATATTGCAGTATAATTTGAAACACGACTAGCAGCCTCTATTAACAAAACACATACATTTTCAACGATTTATAACTTTAAAAAGAAAAATAAAGTGTGTCTGGCCACGTATAGCCTTTTTCACTGTGGGAGTCGATGTGTTAATACTTTTGCCCCCTCCCCTGACTGGTAACCTGGTTACGTCCATGTGTGATTAGTACAATAAAATACAAAATGATACAACCACCCGAACGGGTTCCTGAATTGGTTCTATACGGGCCAATTTACATCGTAAATCCGGCGGTAACGCTGATCGATTGTTCGGGTGACACAGTTAGTCACACTTTCGAATATACATACGTATATTCCATCGAGAGAAGAGTGTAACATTCATTTCATAAGTAATCGAACCGGTAACCGACGATCACTGACACAATGGTTACCCCACGTTCATTCAGCATTTCAGTGGACCCGACGGTGCGACACACCTGGTGGAGCTTGACATTTGGTGGTTTCTTCACCTACCTCTCCTTGTACGGCGGTAACCAAGTTCAAGTTCAGAGAATGTTAACCATCGGGTGAGTACCACCGCAAGCAACAGACTTTCTAACCGATCTATAGGTACGTACACTCACGTTTTCCCGCGATATCGCGAATTATCGGCGTCCCCCACTCGATATTCCATAATTAACTGACGTAAGCCGCCGGGGCGCGTCGTGGCGCATTTTAAATGTTACGAGACACACTCAAACATACACGCACACTGGCAAAAATTCCAGCCTGGTCGCCTGTAAATTTATGCAATATTATTTAACCATTCGAGAAACCCACCGAACCACCCTGTCCCTCTCCCTCCACTCGGAGCTACCGGCAAAAATTCATAGAACTGGTCGTTTCACGTACTGGGTGTATCTTTGAAACGTTTGAAATTTCGAGAACCGTTGATCGTTCTAGATGGAAACATAGTTTGTCGTTTTAATGTAATGGTTCGTGTCGATTCGAATGTTTGATTTACGTGAGCGAATAATACTCTGTGATAGATACAGACCTGGAAGATTCTCTATGCGCGTATCGATATTACTTCTATTCTTAAAAGTAAAGATCGTAAGCGTCTATTCTTCGGTGAATAAGAGTTATTACTCCTATTCTCGAGGGTAAAACTGATGGAAGTCTATTCTCAAGTAGATTCGTACCTTAACAGATATCGGTTCGATTGTAGAGTAAAACTTTGTAAATGTCTACTCTCGGGTGGATACGTCGCATAAAAGACATCACTTCTATTTTCGAGAGTAAAATTCGCAAGAGTTTACTCTCAAGTGAAGACATAACATAAGAACTATCGTTTCTACTCTCAAGAGGAGTTCTCACGCCAATGTTCGCTTGAGAACGAAATCTCGAGTGTAGATTTCACGCCACGTGTTTATACGAGAATGTAATTTACAATTCTTATGCTACATCTTCACTTGAGAGAAGAATACACACGAGTAGAATTGTACAGTGTGACTCTGTATATAGTAAACCCTTAAAAGTTACTCTCAAATATAAACACCCAGCATGAAAATCGTCGAGTAGGTACATGAATTAAATTTTTGAGTGTACAACTATTTAAATTTGTTTCTGTAACCGTGATCCCAATTTGTCGATCGGTAAAAGCGGCGCTCCGCAAAATTAGCGTCCACTTTTGCATCTCGGATTACTATTCACAAACAGCAATAACGCTTGCCAAGCCGTAACCGATAGAGTATTGTGTCGCGTGTCAAGTTCACGTTGCGTTCATTCTGGGACGCATCATCGCGATTCTCTTCCTAGTAGCGTGACGACAGGAAGACGAAGGAATTTTCCTCCGACTTTATCAGGATCACGCATCTCGCGTGCATGCCGACAATAGCGATCGTTCCGATAAGTCGTTCCTATCCCCGTCTTGCGATGCGACTTCCAGTATCCCTTCCGTTATGAGATGCCTCGGTATTAGTTGGACGCTACTTGGTTTGTTCGATTATACAGGGTGGACAGAATAACTTTGACCACCTGGAACATTTTCATGATCTTTTCGAGATACGACGAAAGTTTATTTACCAAAATTGTTCGGTAGTACCGTGGGGACTATCACTTCCCAATAATAATTTCTTAGGGCTTTTAAATAAAAATTCTTGTATTTAGTTCAATTGTATGTACAGTAAAGTATTCTCAAAGTTTCAGAGATGGGTTTAATACTTTATTCACAAGAAATTCCCGAATATTCATACATTTTTAGCCCATTTACACCAGGCCTCCCCCTTAATGAATCTCTTATCCTACTGTATACCGATCAGAAACGCTTGATATAAAAATATAAATTTTAAAGTCTGTTTTTATCCGCCACCGTATGATTTCAGGGACGTGGGCGGTGCTCAAGCAGCGCTCTGGTGGAGCTGGTTATTGACATCTGTGATGTCCCTGAGCCTCTGTTTCTCCGGTTTGGCGATATACGCGAACTACCACGGCTGTGACCCCCTGACGGCCGGCCGGATCAATTCGAACGATCAATTAATGCCCCTTTACGTGATGGACATGCTCTCCGATTACCCGGGTGTGCCAGGCCTCTTTATAGCCGGTATATTCAGCGCCGGATTGAGCACCATTTCCGCGACGGTGAACTCGCTGGCCGCCGTTGTACTCGAGGATTTCATCAAACCCGTGTACCGTGTACGGTGAGAATCGTAAAATCGTGAAACGAAACGAAATTATTGTTAAATTAAATGTTCAGTATCCCGATGGAATGAGAGACACAGCGAGAGCAGTAAACGAATACGATGAAATTCCTGGCGTACCAGTTCCGAACGGTTCGTGATACCGTGGGAGTGTCGTTTCGGAAACGAATTGGCTGCACAATGATCACAAGTAGACGGTGGATTATATTCATTTTTCGAATATTCGCGGGGGAAATGTGAATTCATGAAAATTCCATGGAATTATCGAATACGATTTTCAGTAATTTGTCCGTCTATTACATAGTCTTTACCAGTTATTAGCTACACTAATTATAGCCCAATAATATCCTTTATCAATTCTACCAACATCAATTCTAACAACTTTCCACATTTCTGAATTTAAGGTCATTTCAAGGTGTACTAGGTGATTGAACTCGGCTTAACATGAGCGTCAATACTACGAAGTTAAAAATATGTAATGTCATTTCAAAAAATGACGGTCACCTTGAATTTTGCTCTAAAAGTCTATCTAGATTAAAAACTGATCAACTTTTGTTTAAAAACTTTTACGCCAGATCGCCGGAAGTGCTTGAAAAATCGTGGTGTTACGTGGGACACCTTGTATATAGTATCAGATAGAGATATTAAAATATAAATTACAAGTAAATATTAAATCCTATAAAAAACAACGTACAAAAAAGTAGTTATATACTTCTGCACACTTCACCACCCCTAAGAAAGGCTCCTGGATCCGCCACTGCTCGAAAAGCTCATGTCACCCCCACAAAAACAACGATATTACACGCCTTATTTTCTGCCCAAGGAATTATCTCCATACCGGCGCAGGGTTACTGACGATTAGACTGCGGATTTTTATGCAAAATAACATTTTCTAAAGTGATTTATACAGACAGGAGCAAATGTAGAAATTTATTTTTCCTCTCAACTATTTTATTGGGTTAAGAATACCATAGAAATCTCGTTGGAACCGATGAAAGTTTTGTCTTTTATCGTATTTCTTATAAAATCCGCAGTCAACCGATGATCTATTTTTAGTTAACCCAGGTGTAATTGAAATCTGTTGCAGCGGCAAAGAAATCACCCAGACCGGATCGATCATCGTCAGCAAGCTCTTGGCGATCGTAGTCGGCCTGGCCTGCATAGCGCTCGCGTTTATGGGACGTTACCTTGGCGGTCTCCTCCAAGCCGCGTTGACGATCTTTGGTGTCGTCGGTGGCCCGGTATTCGGCCTGTTCACGCTCGGCATGTTCACGGAGTTGGGCAATCAGCGGGGAGCAGTGATCGGGCTGCTCGCCAGTCTCGTTTTCTCCCTGTGGATGGGTTTCGGCCAACCGAAACCGCCGATCCCCAGGCCGGACGTCACCACGTCGGGATGCAATGCGACTGGATATTACGTGAATCACGTGGAATCCGAGGATTTCCATTTCGATCTCCAGTAAGGAAGCTGTCCCCGTTATCTTCATCGATTCATTCGTGATTCATTCTCTTATCGATCTATTTAAGGTGGCTTCCATGAATTTTTAATAATTATAAATTTAGTTGAAAATTTAACAGAACATTCTTTAAAGCTTCAACTTTTGATTGCTACCAAAAAATCGCAAGATCAACGATAAAACTATTGAAATTGTTATCAAAAATTAGGTGGTTATAAATTTTTTTATAGAAAATTATGATTATAAGGTCTGTTTTAATAATAATCTCTGCGTTTTACCTATATTAGAGCACGAAATTTCGATTCTGCTATAAAAGACCCTGGGCTGTCGTGGAGGGTTAAAAGTCACGTGTATAAATTTTCAATCGTTTCCAAAATTACACTACGCTTGTAATTTTTGCCAATTATTGTACCAATAAACACCAATCACTTCATCCACGTACGAATTCGATGGAATTGATTTCCAAAAGGAGCATCAATAAATCGCAATTTCGTTCTGTTGCAGACATAACAACGACGACGATTCATACTTCTATCTCTATCGTATCTCGTACATGTGGTACTGCCCGCTCGGATCCGTGATCAGTTTTGGGGTGGGATTGTTCGCCAGTTGGATTTCGAATTTGATCCTCGGCAAGGAACCGAAGGAACTACATCCTGATCTTCTCACCCCCATGAAAGCGTCGAGGGTGCGAAGAAGACGGCTGAAGACGACCACTTGAAGCATCCATATCGTTTCACGCTGAAGGATTCATGAAAAACAGACACTCGTGGATCTACAATTCGATGATCATGCATCATTTTTCATTGACAAATGGATGATCGAGAGTCTCCTTTCCTAGTTACGATTTCATCGGTGACGACCATGACCTCAAATTACAAATCGATCGACTGTGCCTCGTAGACAGAGATTCTTTTGTTCAATTTTTTTTAGTTACAGCGATAATAGATGCATTTTTAGTTATATAATTTTTAGTAAAATACATTTTCAAAATTGCAATTTGATATTTTAATTAAATTACAAACAAAATATTAGAAATTCAAATTTCATTATTGGACTTGATTCCTAAATATCTCGTGAATAAAGCCTCGGATAACATTTTCCCAAAGGAAAAACTTGTTCCAAATCACCTTACGAGTGACATATTTCAAGAATCTCCAACACTTTGGTTACACTCTGAAGACCTGCGAACATTCGAATTTCGGCCCACCCTGTACATCCGTAGCCGGCTCCGAGGATTCTCGGCTGGCCTTCACCTAAAAACAAGCCGTCGTCGTAGTAGGCCCCCCGAGAGAGCCTGGGCGTCGAGGAAAGAGAGACAGGTATAAACACGTGTCGAAAAAGTGTGGAGGATCGCCTCGCTGAAAAATCGTAATCGAAGCAATCCTCGATTCCCCGAAATCACGGTCGATATTGCTCGTACTCTCGGACGGACCGGGTTCCATCTCGGAATTCCTGGGGGCCACGAGAGAGAATAAGAACATATGAAGGTGACAGAGAGAGAGAGAGAGGGATAAAGAAAGAAAACGAGAAAGATCGAGGTATCGGAGGTGGTGGAGGTGGAGAAGAAAAAGGAGGAGGCGGTGGCGGAGTGTTCTTCTCCTCCTTGGAACGGAGCAGAGGCAGACGTAAACAGCGCGGGCCCCGCGGGTGTGCTTGAACGTTTACCGAAACGTTCGCAAATCACGATGGAATGCCGTCAGACTGGTGTTCCCGTGCGCGCCATACGGTGACATACAGAACGAAGCAACGACCCGTGTGCACTGTGCCCGCCGCACCGCTTACGTAAGGAAATAACGCGCTGAGAGACATACACACCGTGCCACCTCATCTTGAAGAGAGTGGGGGAGAGGGGCACCTCGGGATTCGTTTAGGACTACACATAGGCAGCGTCCCCCTCCCTTTTACCCCTTTTCCTTCTTCCACCACCAAGTAATCCCCCCTTCGACTTAACACACAAATGGGTCATTATAAAAATTGAAATTTCCACCTTCTTTTTATCTTTCAGTCGTTATTCCAAAACTTTTTATCTAGATAATGCGTTTTCCCATCTCTGTCAATACTTCAAGTGGTAAGTCTACGCACTAATATAAGTTTAAAAAACGTCATATGAACATATGTCCTATATATCTCAGTTTTTGAGTTATGGATGGTTGAAAAAAATTGTTGAAGTGCACGATCTCAAGACTTTTAATTGTGGGCCTATTTAAGAACTATTGTGCATTGAACCCAATGTCCACGATCTACAAGAAAGGACATCAAATGGATTTGAGAGTATTCGGAGAATACCTGGTATTTTCGAGCGAGCACGGAACTCAATACATGTCATATATCATTGAACATCGTTTATATATCACTAAAGACAACAACATATCCAAGTATCAACAAATTTCGACATGTTACTCCGAAAAGTGTCCGATTTCGCGTGGAATGACCCATACTAGACTTTCCGTTGTAAACTACTTTTGAGAGACCCCCAAGCCTTTACACACGCCGTGGCAGCAGCAAACCCGTTGAGCAACTATGTACTGTCTCTTCGTCCCCGTAATTGCGTTACGCAATTCACGCGTTCCATGCACTTTGGCTGGTTCTCCCCGCTATTTAGCAAACAACGAGGAGAGCGCACCAGGCGCGCGCGCACAAGCGGTTACGCAATCGGTCGAGAGGGAGAGGTGGTTGACGTGGAAGGACTGGCGAAACGAACGACGAGAGGGAAACTGATTTTGTTTTGTTTACATTTCCCCATCGGTTTGTCACGAGGGTTTTGATGGGGTGTGCAGTGTAAAGTGTTGAGAAAAATGTAATTTAATTACAAAATCCAAATCTTAATTACAATGTAATGGCAATGTAATTGCAAGATAATCACAATTACAATTACATTGTAATTAACTATACTAAATATACAATAAAAATTACAATGTAATTGTAATTGTTCCGCAATTACATTGCAATTTAGATTTTGTAATTAGATTACATTTTTCCCAACTCTGAATGTACGTATGTTTTACTGTTAACCTGATCGGTACAACGACACAAAAACGCGACGTTTAAATCCTTAAACAGTTTTACATCCTATGAAATGAAATATATTTCAAATTTCAAAAGAGCAAAAAGTATGTGAAATTGTTGTGTACAAAAAAGGAAATAGGACCAAATAAGTACGCAGCCCTGAAGGAGTAGCAATTTCTATTCACGACATCTCGTAGCTATCGGGGAACTGGAAAATGTTTTATTCGCCTGTTAAACAAATTGCCAATTTCAGATGCCTGTTTACCCCAGGCTCGCCAGCACACTTAGCACTCCCAGACGTTCCTTTGTGCAAACGCGAGCGCGCGGGCTTCAAGTGTTAATCGAACACGCCGAGAGACTCGAGCCACCGGTTTATAAAGTCCTCCGGTGTATATACAGAGTGTCTCGGGTCACAAAGGGTTACTCTACATGCGAAAATAAATCGAAAATATACTATGAAATTTTCTCCCACCATGCTTCGTTACCGAGATAATCGAATTTGAATGCTGCGGGAAACGGCAGTTTTCGAATAGGACTCGGCTTCGCGTCTGATCATCACATGCCATTTCTACTTACAGCCACTGCGAATACACGCGTACCTACTCGATGGAATTTCCAAGTAGTTTTTTCTCAAAAACAAAGCCTCGTATAAAAAAAATTTATTCTTCTTTTTCGATTTATTTTTGTTTATAGAATCACCTCCCGCATAGTTGTATCACCTAACCCGAAACATGCTGTATATACACGCGATACGAGTCCGTCGCCCGTTGGACACCGGGGGCTTTATGATGGCCCAGGGAACGGGAGGCTGGTATTTTCCGCCATAAACCCTGAAATTTCCGCTAATTGGGCTCGTAAAGAATCCCGGTTGATTTTTGCGGCCCAACCGTCTCGTTTTTTCTTGTTCTTTCTTTCTTTCATTCTTTCTCGGTCTCACTTCCGACGGCAATTCGAAGGAACCCCGTCGGTAATAGACTACTCTGGAATAGATTAGGATCAAGGGGTGGGGGAGGGGGGCGCAACGGGAGCCGGGAAACACTACTGAGAATCGCTACGAAAATTACACGAGCATTCCGCGGCGTTATTCGCCTGCCCCGGCTATTATACATATGTATACCCGGTGCAGCCGCTACGCGAGCCATTTAAATTTCAAATGATTCCGTGCGACGTGCCCCGCGAATGACGTCGACGAACCTTCGTCGGGCATGTGTATCTCTGTTCGTGAAACCGATGGAGAAATGTTGGGCGAATAGTGCACGATTTGTTTCGTCTGTTTTTAAATTATTGCGAGAGATTTTGCACAGGGTGTGGATGATTCTTACCGGTTCCGGCCGTAAGATCTTTATCAAGATGTAACGGTCACCTTCAGTTTTTTAAATGGAATATGCCCAATATCTCATCCTGAATTTCGATAAAGTATCAAATACAGCATAAAAGACTATTATATCATATAGGGTCTGAAGTGAAGAGTTCTCTGAGATACCAGTGAATTTTTTTTACACTTTGGAAATACCGTTTTTCTATTTCATTTCTTGTTTTGGACCGTGGTTCTTCAATGCAAATTCCAGTTTTTTTTTCTAATGGCATATTCATGTCTTCTCCGAACGACTCTGTTTAGAGCGAAATAAAAACGTTATTACAGCTTGATTGGTGTGTTTACTTTAATCTGTTTTACGCAACTGGAAATGTTACAAACGCGTCAAATCCGGGGACTAGTCATGATGTATTCATGACATCGATCAGAAATTTATGCTTCGTAATAGAGATATATTCTGACGTGTTCTCGTTTAAACTATTCTGCATTTCAACAGACACGGAAAGTTGAGTCACAAGTCATAGAAATAATTCCATTTTTTTTTCAGGTTATACTAAAATAAATGGTGTAAGTATTTTTCATTTCACATTATCGAAATATAAATCGATATTACATAAAATAAGAAACAAACTCATTTTTTTTTTTAATTTTTCGATTTACACCACTTTCATAATCCCCCGTGCATATCATTAACACAATTAATTACTTTATTTATATATCCTAGTATAAGTTGCAAGATTTCACGTGAAATGCACTATTATAACATTCTAATAACTTTCATAATAGTTCATAAACCAGTCATTATTTACTGCTTTGATAGACCTAGTGTTAAACAGCAAATTTTACATATTTGTAGAATACCGAATTATCTAAAAGTCAACTTTCTATTAAACGCCAGTTTCCTTCTAATAACTAATAAAAATCTATATTCGCATAAACTATTCACAATCTAATTATTACTGTTTGTATACCTTTGCAATAACTTCTTTGATTAACATACAACTAGAAATACATAGAAATTGTATATTAGCTAAAAAAAAAAGGAACCTTCCCCGGATCAGTGTTCATGAACGGTGTCAATTCAGCGTGCACTAATCCGAGGAATACACCGTACCACCAAAAACTCTAAAATTCAAATAATAGATGCTTTAGAATGATAGTATCGGATAGTTTCTGTGCAAGACAACGCCGTTGCAACAAAAGAAGAGGGAAAAGAACATAGGTTTGTGAGTGCTATGTGGCAATACGGAGATAATAGTCGCGATACTGTTTTCCACGGGGCCAGAGGATCCACGAGAGAAGCGCGTATCACCGCGAGACGCAACTTCTTGCTTTACCGTTCCCTGTAATTAAATGAAATAATCGAGTCGCGGCGTTGCATCGCGTCGAGCACTGGCGCGTTCTTCATTATAATGCCGTGCATTCCACGGACAGGACAAGTCTTTCCCTCGGCACGCACTGCGCCCGCGTGGAATACGGAATGCGCGAATGATGGACTGCACGCGAAACCACAGCGAGCACTGCAATTCTTCCACTTTGCGCGGTGTCGTTCCAGTTTAATTAAATCTGGTCCTCTTATTCCGGATACTATTATATTTCATTGAAACAATA